TGATGATGAGGACAGGAGCAATGAGGACTTCAAGATTGATGGTTCATCATCTGAAAATGACAAAGATTATGCCACTGAGGTTTCTATTTCTAATGAAGAGGTAAGATATCTGTTTTCTCCCTACATGTCCAAAGACTTATCTTGTCTGAGCTTGCATAAGGTCTTCCATCAAAGATGATCCCAGAAACAGGACAATTTTCTGGAAAGCAAAAGCAAATGACAGCCGATGCTAGTGTTGAATCCATTGGCCCATTAGTATCTGACCAAAGTACAGGAATTGATTCAGAGCTTGAGCCCAAAAAATCAAAAAAGGTGAGCAGTAAATGTTTGATCTATGAATCTCTCATTTCTTATTGTCGAGAGCACAACATGGAATCTGATTTATTATTTTTTTGAGCTCATCAATTATGCAGCCAATGGAACAAAAGGAAAGGATGGAGATAAACATTATCAATGCTATCATGGGAATCACAAGATAACGACAGTTACTAGCACCATGAAATGCAATTTAGGTAGTATATTTACTTCCAATACTGATAATTATCTTACTGATTGTCTGTAGGACTGGTAACTACTCTTTGTAATGCCTCCAGTCCAATGTATACATTCTACCAGCTTCTCAAAAGTAGAGCTGCCAACAACCCTGTTATGCAGGAAGAAATTGATATTGCACCAGGCAAAACTTTGCTTGATAGCCACACAACTACCAAATTTGTGGCAAAACTGAAGAAATACACCAAAAATATTGAAGAGTCCTTTCAGAGGCAGCAAGAGGCAGTAAAGGTAAGATGACATCTCAATGTTTTCTAGTAATCTAATGCTGAAATTTAGGAGCCATGGGATCAAGCAAAATTTGAAGATCTACTTATGCGCTGGATTGTGGCATCCGATAAAACATTTGATGAAGTTGAAACTCTGGAATTTCAAGATTTACTTAACTATGTTCATCATTCCTTGCCTTTAAACATCCCTGGACATAACATGATCAAACGACGGGTAATGAGCATGGGAGATGATGTTATTGAGGAGACAAAAAAAATGTTTTCAGTAAATTCCTCTGAAAATCATCTGAATAAAATCTGACTACATATATCTACAGGAGCTCAATAACGAGATCTCTATATCCTTAGATGCATGGACCTCAAGTAATCTTTTTGCATTTTTAGCTATTGTTGCTCACTACATCAACTGAGATGGATAACTAGGCAAGTGTTTAATCTAAATCATATGGTTGTATTAACTTCTATTATTAGAGGAACTTTTCATCAATTTTTGCGAGCTTATTTGTGAACATTCTGGCAAAAATATAGCTGAGGCTGTGTAGGAGACACTGAAGATGTATGGGATTGAGAAACAGGTATGATTTCTTTATCTTCATGCTTTTAAATGCTAAAGACAGGTCAGATTTTTGCACTGATGCTCGATAATGCCTCAAATAATGATACAATAGTTGATGGCATTGAATGCCATACCCATGAAGCTGGTGTTTTCTTCAAGGCTCCTTGGGGACAGCTTTGTTGTATGCCCCATACCGTACATCTGGCAGCAATTCAGGCAAGTAAATAATCATGATATCATGTCTTACTCTGATTTTTTTATAGCTTCTGGAGTCTATAGGTGCTCTTTCTCATGTGGAGGCTAAAAAGGCAATGTCTCAAAGCAGAAATTATCAGGATGTCATCACTACTCCTCTCAACAGCAGTGACAATGAAGATAATGACATGGCGGCTTTGAATGACCAGGATGAGCAAGAGAAACAAGCTTTTCAACCAGAAAGCAAGGATATTTTTGCAGCTGTTGACAAGGTAAGTCATGACTCACTTAGAATTTTGTGATACTAAGATGATATAATAGCTTTGAAAAATTGTTTGTGCTGTCTGCTCCAGCCCACAATGTAAATAAAGCTGGCTATGCCAGGTAGCCGATGAGCTTCAAAAGGACAAGGCTACTAGTATGTGACAGACGCTAATGCTCATTCTGGATGTTAGGACAAGATGGTCATCAACCCACCAGATGATGAGTATGTTATCATTTCTACTGCGCTGATGATTTTGTCTCTGACTCGGTATTCTTAGAGAGGGCCCTTGACCATAAATCAATCATCAATGATTTTGTTAGCCTTCACAAGGATTTGCATGCACTTGAACTTTCAGAAAAGGAATGGGCCGCCATCAAGGAAATTGCTAGCTGGCTTGAGATGTTTTGGTCAGCAACAACTGAAATATTGCAGACTAAAGAATCCATGCTTTCTAGCACTCACCTCATTTTTTGTGGACTCCAGGATCATGTCAAAACAATCATTGCCAATCTACCTAACAACATCAATCCTATTATCAAGAGAGGGCTGCTTGCTGCTCATACGAAACTTTGCAAGTATTACTACTGCTTTGACCAGTCTCCTTTCTATATATGGGCTGCACATAAGTAAACTATGTTTAATTTTGAAGAAATACAAGACTAATTAATTTCTCAAGTTCTTGATCCCCATTTTATATATAAAGGCCTTAAGGAGGAGTTTTCCAATGACAACAATATTCTAACCCACCTTGAGGATGCAAAAAAGGAATTACACAACTTTTACAAGGTGCATTATGTATGTCCTTTGACTGCACCACCATCTCCAACTGTGTCGTGGCCAACCTCTTTCAAGTTCAATTTCAAAGCTCATTATTAAGCAAAGAGCAGACAGGTTATTGACAAGCTTGAAGACTTTTTTAGCTAAGTTCTGAACCCTTTGATGATTGCCATCCACTTCAGTGGTGGCTCGACAGGTGCATGCAGTATCCCAACTTGTATCAGCTTGCATGTGATGTCCTAGCCATTCTGGGTGCATTGGACAACATTTTTCTTTGATTGATAATGACCTTATACATTTAAAAGGTCTGCTGCAGCCGTCAAATGGATTTTCTTGGGGGGGCGCAATACAATTTCTCTCAGATGCACTAACCTTCTTCCAGACACAATTTTCATCTTAATGATAGTCAAACAGCAATTGAGATTATGTTGATTAGCACAAAATTAAGGTCTATATCCAGAAAATATTATTTTTTTATCCAACTGTGTACTGTTAACAGCCATTCACAGCCATTTGTAAACTGTGCTGTACTGTCAGAGGATTTGAACAGGCCAGTCATGGCCATAATTTGCATGGTCGTGAATCGTGGTACTGCCCTCAATCTACAGCTGTGACTGTGCATGGATGGCGTGCACCCCTAATTCTCTCCCATGAATGTGGGTGCTGGATATTGGATGCTGAATGCTGAATGTCAAGGCAACCAGAGACATGGAGGAGCCCCTGCTAAGCATGCAATAATGCATCTTCCTCAAAAAATGACACCACCTACATGAGCATCAAGATCACACCAGCATGCTCAGTAATAGAAGTCTAAATGGTTCTTGTTCCTGGAGCATTAGTCACAAATGGAGTATCACCACAGTGCAGCCTGGAAAGTCACAGAGAAGCTCCTTTTCATAATGTATGCTACCTGCATCAGTCATTCTCCATCAACAGAGTCATCATCAAATGAAACCATTGCAGCCTCCTGGATTTGGAAGTCAACTTGAGGGACAGCATGTTTTGAGCACTATTGACTTGAGTGCACCTTTCTTCATATTGTTGTCTCATTCATTCCCATACTGTACCACACTTGCTAGCTTATTGCTTGTTCTAGCTTAGTATCTCAACTCCTGAGTCCCATATATCTTTTATCTCCCAGCCAGTAGTGTGATTTCAATGCTTCAATCAACTCTTATTAGCATTGATGTATAATGCATAATATACTGTAATAACCCTCCTATGCATTACTTGTGCCCATGTCTACTTTTCAAGCTCTGTAGTGTATCTTTGTGATGCATTACTTTTCCACTGTAATGCATCAGTTCACACAAGGAGTCACAACCTAGTCACCTTCTTGTTTGCAAGCTCAGTCATGCATAACCTGGTCTTCTGACTTCATCTTCCTATTCCATTGTTATGCAACACATATCCACATGTAACTGTTAGTGATGCATGAGCCATGAGTACTCTGCACCACCAGGTTCACATTGACAACTGATGCAATATACCTAGTCACTTTCTCTTGTTTGCTTGTTCTTGTATAGCCTACCTTTCTTGCCAATCCCATCAAAACAGGGTGGCCCTTGGCCACTTGCAATGCACTACTTTTCTTGCCCAATCTGCCTAGTGTCATCTTAAAGCAAGGGTTGACATAAATGCAGGTTTCAAGGGTAAGGAGCATTTTTGGAGGTCCTTGCACCCATATGCCTATGCAGCCTCTGTCTGCATCATTTGACATCCTGGTGCTGTCACAGTACCATCTCCATAGCAAGCCTGCTTGCCATCTCTCAGAGGCTGAAGATTTCCATGCATGGTGTCCTAATTTGGACAGAGGCTGTGCAGCAGATCATGTGTCCTCAGTCTCACATCTGCCTGTTGCATGCACCTCTCCTCCATCTGGTAGCAATGGTGAGTGCCCTGTTGCTCTCTCCCCCCAGCTTATGCTGACGCTATATGCAGAGTAGTGCCTCCTATTTATTCTGTTATCTATTCTCTCCACACTACTCTACACTGTGAGCTCTTTAGCTCTCTCCCTGCTTTGCCTCCCGCTTACATTCCTGCAGATTTTGTGCTCAAGATTTATTAAGTATAAAGTACTCAAGCCCGGAATCTAATGTAAGTTCACTCCTCCCACCTTCCTTGACTGTTTGTAACATGTCGAGCCTCCAGAGCAAATAGCTTTTTTGTGCACCCACCCTCCTCTCCCTCTTTGTATTACTAGCTACTTGTATCAAATTGTACTACTACATCTCTTTCTATCCCTTGTATTACTACCTCTACTTTGTATTTCTACCTTTCCTTTGTAGTAGCCTATCTTTCTCACCAATCCCATTAAAATGGGGTGGCCCTTGGCCACTTGCAATGTGCTACTTTTCTTGCCCAATCCACCTAGCATCATCTTAAAGCAAAGGATTTTTGTAAAAGGTGCACTGTCAGTCTGAGATGGGACCATCAGGAGTTGAACCCATACCCTAGATCAAGTCACAATCACAACAGTGATCAATCTTACCACTAGAGCACAGTCCCTTAGCAGGTATAATAAACAAGCTTACAACCTGTGCCTTCAGCACAGGGTTTGCACACTCACCCATGCCTCCAGCACTCTGTCTATAGCTTGTTGGGGGAGACCTCCAAACCCCCTTTGCTTAGTGCAGGACTGGCTTCACCTTTCATATTTAATTACATGTTTATTTCATATTTTATTATGTTTATTGTATAAACTTTGTTAGACATGTTCTTTAATAAAATTAATTTAATACAAAGAATTACTATATATAAGTTAATCACTAATATGCAAATTGTTAGTAAAGTTATGATAGTCAAACTTTAAGACACTTACATTTGCAGGCTACTTAAAATTTCCTTATAAATAATATTAACAGTCTTGTGTGTTTCATTCTGCAATATGACTTTAATGCGGTTTGCAGATGTACACTGAGAAAGTGCAACATAGAGTTGTCCATGTGAAAAGGCAGATGTCCGAAGGTCCAATCCAACTTGTTGAACTGACTGGCCTTGTGATTTATTGATTGTCATAGCAAAGGCCAATCGAATAGGAAATTGTCTTCTTCTGAGTGGAATTGGCAGGTCACCTTCTGAGGGGTCAATATTGATTCAAGGAATCAAGACATATGTTCCTGCAAACTTTCTATCACCACTGATAATTTGGCATTTCAAGACCCGTGACTTGATTTCAGTTACAATCATTCTTGTTCCATTACATAGACCTCTTGATGCATCCAAATTCTGCAGCAACATAACAGAAACACCTTTTTTCAAGGCTAGTTTGGCTAAAGGTAATCCACTGCATGTCAAACTATTGAGGTATTCCATAGGATATAAATGATTTGGATGTCCATCTTCTGTGTTTACTGAGTCTGCACTCATCATAACCTTTTCTTGACCTGGGAATTTCTGAAGAATGTCTGAGT